GGTCCCAGCTCAAGCTGCACGGCTTCATAGTGTGCAGAGCTTAAGCCCAGAAAGGGAGGCGGCAGGCCTGTGGCACCCACTGCCCGGAGCCACCCCAATGGCCCTCAGCCTAGGGCTGTTCCCCAGCCTGCCCCGGCACCCCGCAACCTTGGGCTCACCTCCCAGGTCTGAAGGTTCCACCAGGTGGGACGGTGCTCAGCAGCAGGTGGCAGCTTAGTGGTTCATCAGGGGGACCTGGCACTGTGGCCATCCCAGGTGGCAGGAACTTCGAAAGGGCCCTCTTTCCTCTGAAGAGGCCTCCTCCTCCTCGCCCTCCTCCTCCTCGCCCTCCTCCTCCTCCCTCAGCTCAGCCCTCCTCCTCTGTAGTACTACAGGGACATGTGCTTTGTGCTCTGCTTGGAGGAGGAGAGTGTGGCAGTTTATTGGAAGGAGAAAAGAACAGTCTGCTGTGCCCTGCTAGATGCTCATACCTAGCAGAAGAGGGGTGGGGAGAGGGAGGGGGAGAGAGAGAGAGAGAGAGAGAGAGAGGTGCCAGGGAATAATTAACCCTTGTGCTCCAGCTCAGCTGCAGGGGAAACAATACACTTAACCAATGGAGTGCCAGCCCAAGACATTACATCATCTGCCAGCACCATCATTGGCTAAGAATTCTTAGAAGGAGAAATCCTGCTTGCAGGTGCTTAACCATTCCACCATCACAGCAAAGGGGACCTGCTCCAGACCAATGAGTCCTGAACTCCCTCTTATCAGAAGCACCCAGTGTGCTTTCCACACAAGGAGGCTGTCACGCTCCACCTCAGACCTTCAGAGGGGCGGCGGTGGTAATTCAAACAGTGCACTCAGAACCTCCTCCTCTCCAAATGAGCATGCATACTGCGCCCAGCCCTTCAACTCTCGCAGAGATTTCCCGCTCTGAGCAGTGGGCATCGCTGACACCATGCCACAGATACAAAAGGAAGGCTTGGCTTTCAATTGCTTCCAGGGTTACAGAAAATGTAGGCGCTGTCCACAAGCTGGAAAACACAGTGAGCGGTGAAGAGCTGGGGGCGAGACGAAGAGTTCGAGGAAAACCGCTCATCCTCTGCTTCAGCGGCAGATCTCTGCCGCACCATCACTTCCCCCACACCTGGGACAGCTGCCCCTGCCCTGAGCACTGCGGCCCTGGATCTGTGGGCTGCAGGGCATCTTCACTGGGCCAGGTCCCTGGGAATAGAGCCACATCTGCCTCCTCACCAAGAGACGCCCAGCTCAGTGCCCACCGTATGCCAATCCTCATCAACACTGAGGGAAGGGAGGCAGGAGCAGAGCGGGTGAGGCGCTTGCTGAGGGTCAGGGACAGGGACAGTGGCAGGAGTGGGACAGGGAGGCCAGGAGACCCGCAAGAGTAGACTGGCCCTGGGTGGTTTGCTTTGTGGGGACCCTCGCCTTCCTCATCTGAAAACGAGGACAACAGCACTGCTTCCTGGGGTAGTCCTGAGGGGCATATTAAAGAATGCCCGGCTCTGTCGCCTGCAGTCTGTCCCTGGGGATCATCTGTGTTCCTGACCGACACCTAGGGCTGACAAGTGCTGTGCCCGTGCTGCCAGGTGTGTGGTGGTGCCTGACTCCACAGGGCTACTTGATGGGCACATCCAAAAGAGGACTTTGATTTTCCACCACGCAGACAGCCTACTCCCCACTGATCTCCTCCATTATGGGGAAAGTGCTCCCACCCCACTAACCTTCTGAGGTGACATCTACACAGCTTGAAGACATATTCAGTGGCATTCAGTAGCTTTACAACATGTGCACCCTCCCTCTAAGTCATCCTCGTCACCCCTAAAGGAAAGCACACCCTACCACCGATGCTATGGTTTGTGTCTGGATCTCCCCCAAAGCCTCACACAGTCCTGGAGGCAGGTTCTAGTTTGTGATTGATTTATAGTCCAACGCTCGGATTATGGGTGCGAGTGCTACACCCGCTCTGGAGGTGAGCAGCCTGCATACAGTATAAGGGAGGGAAAGAGGCTTGCTCTCTCTCTCTCTTCCCCTTTTGCTCTTGCTGCTTTTGCTGTCTCCCGCAGCCATGAACTATTTCTCCACTGCCACACTACCTATCCTTGGAGCCAGCTGAGTATGGACTGAAACCTCCGCAAACCATGAGCTAAATAAACCTTTCCTTCCTTAATTTTGGGTGTTGGGCATTTTGTCTCAGCAATGAGAGAAAAGTAACCGGACAACCCTTCTCCTCCAGCTCCTAGCAGGAATCATGCATCTGTGGATTTACATATTCTAGAAAGTTCATGGAAAGGTAGTCATGCAATGTATGATCTTTGGTGTCCAGATCCTCCTATTTATATTTTCACATAATGCTTTCAGGACTTATGGAAGTTGTAGCACATATGTGTACTTTCCTTTTAATGGCTGAGTAATATTCCATTGTAAATGATATACACTCCATTCACCCATGATGGACATCTGACATCTACCCAATCTTAAGCTATAAGCCCACGCATCATGCTTGAGCCCTCTCCTTCCTGTATTCCCCCAGCTAAGGTGCCAGCAAGTCCTGCCCAGTTGGCATCCAAAATATAGTTCGAATGCTTCTGCTTTGCTCAGCATTACTGCCATCCTCTAGCCCAGGTACCCATATCTCTCTTGCTAACTTCCAGCTGGGGACATGATCCAGTTCTTTCTGCTCCCCAGGCCTCCTGGGGAACCTGGTGCACCTTCTCAAAATGTCACTAATTAGAAATGGTATTTTCCTGAGCACCGCTCCTGATGGCCTTTCCCTCCAAGAGGCACAACAGAAGACAACAGGCCCCAGCGGTCACCACAGGCCTAAACTCCTCTGATGACTGCATCGCCCTCTGCATCAAAGCCAGGTAGGCATGGCCTGCGGGGCCCTCAACTTCAACTCTGCCCCGGCAGCCCCGCACAACTGCCCAGCAGGCTTCCCTCATGGGCTCTGCTCCTCCACCTCGAGGCAGCTCCTGTGCCTCTGGACTGTGGCCAGGCCCTCACTGTTCCTATGTCTCCATGTACGAATCTCTCCTCTGAGAGCACCGCCCCCGACGGCCATGCCGGGCACATTCACCTTTCACCTCACCCACTCCAGGAGTCTGCACTCCACGCAGGTTTCCAAGCTGCTCTCGGGACGAGGTCACGCAGGATCCCTGCAGCATAAGCAGCTCCATCCCAAGGAGGTGGGAATGGATCAGAAGCACAGGAACACGTCCACTGGGCCGAGAGCCTGTCGGGGCCCTGAACCCTGGCTAAGCCACGCCACACTCCCCTTCACCGGCCTTGCAAGATCACAGTACTTCATGTCTGTCTCCGTCTACCCTTGTAGAGGAGCTGTGTCCCAGCACCGAGGACATCCCCTACCATCCGGGAGCCACTCAATACACATCGACTGAAGTAGTAAGTGGATAAATGAACGCAGGACTAATTGACCAATTTGTCAATGAAAGCACTCTGTGAGGTATAACAAGTCGCACACGTGTGGCCCATTGTTATTATCGCTATTGTTTTGTGGTAAAATGACATAGAGTCCTTTGGATTTTTGGAAGATGAGTTGACGGTAACTTGGAGTCTCACTGGACAAAAAGAAGGGAAAGCAAACCGGTAACAGGGTGGGAGCCTCCTTACCAAAGACGATTTACGCAGCCCAACTCCGGAAGTCATTTTCAGATGCAGTTAAGACACTGGAAGGTGAAAGAAACGTGCTGTGCAGCAGGTGCAGGACAAAGCACGGTCTGTTCACTCCCAAAGCCTCTGAGGGAGGGGCTGGACGCTGTGGGACAACTCTCAGGCCACCTCCAAGACCAGGGCAGCTGCCTCCCCGTGCAGCTGCAGGGCGGGAGCTAGCAGCTCACAGCCCACAGCTGAGCCCTACCCAGGAGCCAACCTGCTGGACGCCAGAGCCCTGCGGCCTTGCTGGGGCACTGCGAGCTTGGCCCCCTTGCCTTAGGGGATGGACTGAGCCCTCCTGCTGCATCACGGACCGCATTCTCCCTCCGCCCTCCTGCTCCGGGAGGGTGACTCTCTCAAACCCCCTGCACACCCGCAGCCTCTCTGAGCTGTCCTCTGGAGGACCTGACCTCCGGTAGGTGGGCATAAATCACGGTTTCCTTTTAAATCAGAAAATGGGAGCGGAAGGTTGGCCGTGTCTGCCAGGCACAAAGCTAAAGTTGCTTTCTAGCCCGGCTTCCCAGCACGCCCTGGTTCTCTATTACAGCCGTCTACACACCACCCTAGGGCCTCCCACGGCGGACAGAGACTGCGCCCCTCTGGGCCCCAGGGGCCAAGAGACAGAAGAAGAGAGCGGGAAGCCCAGGTCAGCCCCTGGCGACAAAATCGAGGTCACGGGCTCAAAAACAACATAAGCCTGGCGCGCCGTCACACGCGCCACACCGCACTGCCTGGATGCCCTGGGTGCCGAAGCGGCGCACAGGCATCTGCGGCCAAGTCCCCGAAGCCCAGTTCGGGAGCCCGGGCCGATGCGCATCAGGGTCCTTCACACCGCTCCTTCCCCCGGGACAAAGTTGCTGGCGCCCCAGGGCTGCACCTTAGGGCTGTGCACACTCCAGCCGGCACCGGAGCACATGATCCAGTCCCCCAGGCACCTGATGCTGTCTCGGTTCCAGGGCAGGGTACCGCACTTTTGCAGTTCTTTCGCCTTGCGAACGGAAACCTCCTGAATTCCGGCCGGCCCAGCAGCCCGCACCCGCCCGGCCCGCCTTCTGCAGCCAGCCGCGCGCCCACTCCCCGGTCCCCGCGGGATCGTCTCCCCTCGAGCCCTCGGCCCTGCGTGGGGCTGGCAGGCGCCCTGAGGAGCGAGGCAAACGCAGGGGGTGGCAGTCCAGCTCCGGCCCGGCCCAGGGCGGCGAGCCCAGGCTCGGCCGTTCGGCCCGAGCTGCCGGGCCGGGCAGCAGCTCGCCGGCTCCGGGGGAGGCTGCGGCAGCTCAGGCCGGGCGGAGACCCCTAAGCCCGAGCTTCAGGGAGTCTACCCAGCTTACCGTGCAGCCCAGGTCCGGGCGGGTGCTGCTCCTCTCGGCACTCGCCCGCGGCTCCACAGCGCGCTCCGGTGCAGGCAGTCCCTCGCTCCAGGCGCGGTGGCTCCGCCCGTCCCCTGCTCCGCGGCAGCGCCCATTGGCTTCGGCAGCGAGGCCCCGCCCCCAGGAGCTCCGCCCCGCCTCTCCCAGCGCCCGGCCCTTCCTTCCGTCCCACCCCCGAGCCCCGCCCCGCTCCCAGAGCCGTGGCTGTCATTGGATCTTCAGATAGGCCCCGCCCACAGAGGCCCCACCCACACGCCCCGCCCGGCGGGTTCACCTCTGCGGCAGGGAGCGTCACTCCAGACTCCTGCGCTTGGTGGCTGCGTGATGCAATATTTGTCTCTCCCAGGAGCGTCCGGCCCCTCGGGGAGTGACAGGAGTGCAGGGCCCCAGACGCCAGCTTGGAGAAGTCATCTGCCCCGGGCCTCCGTGGGCGCCTCCCCGCGAGCTGGCGGCCACGTGCCGCCCAGCCCCGCAGCCGGAAAGGGGACGACGCCCGCGGGTTGTGGGGTTCGCAGGAGCGCGCAGCGGGCGCGCCCACCACGCGGGTCAGGCTGCACAGAGCGGGAAGCGGATTGGGTGACCTCACACAGGAAAGGGCCGCAGCCACTGCTGTGTGCCGTGTCCACCAGGCCACCCGTGATACGGGTGGAGAGGGGGACCGGAGCAACTCCAGGCTGGAGAAAACGAGCCCCCCAAAGGGAGCCAGAGCTGGAGCGCAGCCCAGGATGGCCACTGTCAACAGCCAGCAGAGAGCCAGAGGCCAGGGGTGAGCGAGCCAGGCTCCTCCAGGGCTCCCTGACTTTCAGGAGGCTGGGACAGCTTACTTAGGAGGAGGGGCTTGTTGTGGCTCGTGGCGGCTCAGTCACTGAAGGCAGGAGGCGGTGGAAAGGTCTGTCAGAGGAAACATGCTCATATCCTGGTGGCCAGGAAGCAGCGGGAGAACGCAGGAGCCGGTGAGGGAGAGGGACCCTTCCAGGTCAGGCCCCAGCGACCTCTCTCTTCCCACCACATCAAGGCAGTCCTCTTCCCAAAGCCCTGCTGTAGGACTGCACGAGGTCTTGGGAGGCATCCTCCCTACCAACCATAGCAGCTGCCTGTACCAAAATGGGGAAGGGTCCTGTCCATCATCTTCTGCCTGCTGCATGACCTCAGGAACTAAAAGGGCACGGGACCTGCGGGGGATGCCACGCTCCAAGACTGGCTGGCCAGGTGGTAGGGTACCTGGTGAGCTGGCTGGGTCTACCAGAGCCAGAGAGGTGTGACAGACAGGCACATGCACCTGCAGGGAACAAGCACTGCTCAGCACCTGAGGCTTCCCCATGTGGGAGTAGGGACCCAGAGCTGCCAGATGTTCTGATTTTCTTGAAGTGTGGTACTGGGGCATCAATCCAGGGCCTTTGCACTGAGCTACATTCCAGCCCTTTTTTATTGTTTATTTTGGGACAAGGTCTTGCTGAGTTACTAAATTGCCCATGCTGGACTTTCTAGCGATCCTCCTGCCTCAGCCTCTCAGAGTGCCTGCATCATAGATGTGCACCACCACACTTAGCTGAAGATGTTTTGATTTTTATTTAAAAAAAAATTTTTTTTTAAGAAAAACTCCTATAATCCCAGCACTTGGAAGGCTGAGGCAAGAGGACTGCCAAAAGTTTGAGACCAACCCAGGTACGTAGGGAGTTTAAGGCCAATCTGAACTACATAGTGAGGCCCTGTCTCAGAGAGAAAGCAACAACAATGAAAAACCCCATAAACTGCTGATTTTCAACTATGCACAGTAAAGTCACTTGGGCAAAATTGGAAGGGGTATTCTTGCCTGGGTGTGTACACTAAAAAGTTCCCTACTATCAGGTTTTTTATGTTTTGTTTTTTGATACTGAGAATCAAACTGACGACCTTGCACTTGCCAGGCAGGCGCTGTGCCGCTGAACTATATCCCCAGCCCTACTATCAGTTCTAAAGAAAGAAGAAAAAAGCAAACTGTAGGATAGAGGTTTAAAGGAGAAACCAGTCAAATTATAGTATGGAAAGTTATTTTTATTGCTCTATAAATAAGCAAAGGAATGGCATTAGATTCAGGACAGGTTAATGGTTCCACTGATTGTAGCTAGTCCTCAAGGTCTGTCACCCAGAGTGGCAGCAACAAGATTCTCCCGTCATGCACTGGAGGTCAGCCGAGTTTGGTGTTGCTTGTTTGTACGACTGAGCCAAGTAACAAAAGGTGTTCCGAAGCCCCACTTCCCCCACCTGCGATATTGTCTACGTCTGGAAAACCACGTGGTAGCATAACCCACTGAGTTTAGGTTGAGAGGAGAGGACATCAAAGACCTGAGCTACATCATCCCGTAACTTCCCCCGGCCTTCCTCTTCAGCAGAGAGCTGGGCACCAGGCAGCTTTGTAGAGCTTCTGTCTGTATCTTCACATGTCTTTGGGGTGTGGGTGTGGGGTTGTTCCTTGTGTGGAGACCCGATGATTCCCAGGGCAAGGTCCTCCACCATTTGCCACCCTGAGTCCTGTGGGCCAATTCCCCAGAAATCCTGGAGGTCACCTCAGTTGAGCTGCATAGCTGCCCACTCCTGGGACTTTGTCTTCCCAGAAAGAGGCGAAGAGCCGGGAAAGAGACCCGTGCAGTGACAGGGCAGTACCCGCAGCGTCCTGAAGAGACTGGACTACAGGGTCACAAGTGAAGTGAGGAGGAGTAACCGGCTCTTCAGACAGAATCTTGCTGTGCAGCCTTCAGCACTCCCCCCTTTCCTGCCAGATTCTCAAATCGGCCATCCCTGCCCCGCCCCTCGATTGTGTTTGTGTGTGTGGGTGTGTGAACCTCCCATTTCTGTGGAGTTCCTTGTGTTGCCACCCAAATTACTTCTCTTGCTTTTAACCGAAGTCCCAGTGCACTCAAGAAGGAAGGAAACGCTGCCCGCCACACCCCCCGAGGGGGGCAGCAGTTTGGCGCAGGGTCCACACACAGATGGGAGCGAACAGGTGACAGGTGGACGTGTGTGCTCACAATGTTAGGAACCCACCCCATAGGGCGGCAGTGGCAGTAGTATTTTGGTGTTATTTTTGAAAAGAACCGAGATCTGCTATTCTTGACAAATCTAAAAAAGTGAGGAGGCTCTTATCCAAACAAAACCACCACTACCTTCTTGTATGGAAATTTTGTAGTGTGCAAAGTAAACCACAGAAATTTCCCTCCTTTCATATGCATGGCCAGTGAGTGCCAGAGCTATAGCTAAACCTAGGTCCTATTTCGGGATGGCTTCCACTCCACCTGCCCATGGCTTTCTATACTTGCCAGCAAGAGCAGAGCTGTTGGCCAGGGGACAGGAAAGGTGCCCTTCCTCTTGCTGACTTAGCATGGTGCCTGAAATCTGCAGGATTCCCAGCAAACCTCTAGGTTTGGTTTTATCAGCAGGGGAGAAAGAGGGATTGTGGAGTCTGCCAAGCAGGACCAAGGAAAGAGGCAGAAGTGGGAGAACTTTTCAATTTCACCCGTTTTCTATTTGGATTTTTAAAACTCCTTAGGAAGATGTCAAAGATAGAGTCAAAACAGTTTTGAAAATGTCAATTTCCTTCACCACAAGGCAGTTTATGACTGCTCCAAGCCCTGGGAACGTGAGGGGAGTTTGGAGGGTTTCACTGACATCTACAATCCCTTTCTAGTGTGAAGGGTCGGCCTGCCATGGCCCGGCCTGGGCCTGGCGCAGGGTCAGCTGCCGTCGGGAGGTCTTGGGCCTGCTTCTTTGTAGTAGAGTATTTTTGCTGATGTTGCAAAAGATTGTCATGGCAACCAGAAAAATAAGTTTCTGAGTCCTCCCAGTCCCCCTGAAAGGGAGGCAGATGTCAGTGGGAGTTCCTTTGTCATCGAGGGTGCGTGCGGGAAGGTTTCTGATGATTACGTCACCCCCGAGGCGGTAATGTGTCTCCTCCACACGGGGCCAGGAAGCAGTGCAGGACGAGGTAGGAAGAGGCCCGGGGCCCGCGCGATGGCAGTGGAAATCCTGGCCGCACGTGCCTGTCACCTGGGGCTGAGCCTGCACCCGCCAGCGACAGGGCTGGGGAGTGTGGCGGGGAGTACAGCACTGTGTCATCCTCCGCCCGCCCGCCCGTTTGATGGTAGTGCTGGGGTTAGAGACGAGGTTGCGGGCCGTCCCGGCCACTCCTCCCGTGGTCTCTTCTCTGTGAAGTGAGGTGGAATAACTGGCTCTTCAGAACCATCCCAAAGCTCAGGAGTGCGGGCACCTGCGAATACCAGTTCCATGTGCATCGGGGCCAGTGCGGGGTGCAAAACCCCATGAGGCTCTTTTGGATTATGCTCTCCCTGGCTTCATGTTTTACTTGGAGTCTCCGAGGTCTTTGAGCACCAGGACCCAGTGAAGAAGGTAGAGAAGCTGCCTCCTCCACCCTCCTCCTCTCCGCCCTAACCCACGTGTGACTGTCCACAGGACGGTCCCATGTACATCCCTGTCACTTCAACCAAGCTCTGTGGCTGGACGAACAGTCAGGCAAGACGACAAAGCGTGTTTCCCCTCCTCTGCAGGAACAGGCAAGGGCGCGGTGCCGAGAGCAGGAAAGCTGGGCAGTGCTGCCCTGTTTAATCTCGCTCTGCTGCTTGCCAGGCACCTGACTTGGGCACAGTATTCGCCTCTAGCTCCACCCCTTTCACACCTTTTGTAAAAGTGTGTGACGATGCTGCCCACGGGTTGGGCTGTTGGGAGGAGGAGAGCTGCTCAAATGCACAGTCCTCAGAGCTGAGTCTGGTACAAATTAGTCCTCCATCAGTGTTATGCATTTTATTTGCATCTGAAGGATCAGCTTGATTTCACAAAAGGCAAACACACACACACACACACACACACACACACACACACACACACATACACACACCTTATTCCGAGCTCAGCCAGTAGGCGGACCCTGAGTGGATTACTGTGAGGGTGTGCAGCCCAGAGTGTGGGGCAGCTTGGTCTCTGTCCTCTTTGTCTGAGGCCACAGCTGCTGGATTGGAGTGGGGGTGTGGGTACTGCCACCCTGCACCTTCCTTCCGGAGCCCGCTGTG